GAGAGTGAGTGTGTGAGTGAGAGTGAGTGAGTGTGTGAGTGTGTGTGTGTGTGTGAGAGTGAGTGTGTGAGTGAGAGTGTGTGAGTGAGAGGGAGTTGAGTGAGTGTGTGTGTGTGAGCGAGAGTGATGAGAGTGAGTGTGAGAGTGTGAGAGTGAGTGTGTGCTGCACACAGGACTGAGCATCTCTCTCTCTCTCAGATTTCTTCTGTGGGCCGCGGGTGTCTGCGGTGCGTCTGGCTGGACTCGAGCACGTGCTTCACTTCACGGCGCTGGAGGGCAAGATCTACCTGCGCAGCTACAAGTAAAAGCCCATCCGTCCGTCAGACGGCTGCATCACTCCTGTCGCTCTCCTGACGCTCTGCTTGTGTTCACAGAGTGCTGCTGAAGAAGTCCGGCTGTCGCACGCCCCGGATCCAGCTGCAGGACATGGGCCCTTCCTTTGACTTCGTCATGAGGAGAAACCACATGGCCTCAGACGACCTGTACAGAACCGCTCACAGACAGCCCAGAGGAGTGAAGGTAGCACACACACACACACACACATATCCTTGTTCATGCTACTTTGTGGGGTCCTTTAGTTGGACAACATCTTAAAAATAATAGTAAAGAATGGTTTATAGAATGTTAATTAAGGATGTAACGATGCACCCCGAGCCAGTTGAAAATTAATTCTACATGTGTCACATTGTCCAACTACAAATATTTCAGTGAAATGAGTACCTCATCTTCAGCATTATAATTATTTCCCCCGCGCCGGACAGAGACTGAGACGGTGCCGCTGCATGTCGTGCCAAACCTCTCATGGCAGCGTCATCAGCTTGAGATCGGTTTTATGAGATCGGCCTTTTTAGAGACCGCCGATCAATCATCCCAACGCGATTATCGGCCGATAGTGATCGGTAGCCCATCAATCGGAGCACTCCTAGTTTACAGCAGTTACCAGGGAAATACTATATCATTGCTGTTTATAAGTGCAGCTGCTTTGTTTATAGCGGTAACCAGGGAAACGCTGTATCATTGCTGTTTATAAGCGGTAACCAGGGAAACGCTGTGTCGCTGCTGTTTATAAGCGGTAACCAGGGAAACGCTGTATTGTTGCTGTTTATAAGCGGTAACCAGGGAAACGCTGCATCGCTGCTGTTCATGAGCGCCACCTGCAGTCAGAGAGTGAATCTGCATCTCATTCAGAGCTTCTTTATAAGCGGTAACCAGGGAAACGCTGTATTGTTGCTGTTTATAAGCGGTAACCAGGGAAACGCTGTATCGCTGCTGTTTATAAGCGGTAACCAGGGAAACGCTGTATTGTTGCTGTTTATAAGCGGTAACCAGGGAAACGCTGCATCGCTGCTGTTCATGAGCGCCACCTGCAGTCAGAGAGTGAATCTGCATCTCATTCAGAGCTTCTGCTGTTTGCTTCAGATATGTTTTATGTAGTATAGTTTCACAATGCTAAAGTCAGACCACTCTGAATTTGCTTCAGATTTCAAATTATTCAATCTAATTTAGATTAAATACTGCTCATGCTGCATGTATGGAGCGTCTTTGTTTGGATGGTGATTAAAATGCAGTGGCAGATTTATTTATTTATTTTCGGATGCGTTTTAAAATTTCTATTTAGTTTTGTTATTTTGACATATTTCAATTTCACAAAGAAATGTGCAGCATTTTGTCCAAGCAACAATAAAAGCACGCCTATTCATTTTTAATTTCTCTTAAACCACATTTTGTTAAAATAAATGTGATGTGTAGTTGAATGAATCGTTATATCCCTAATGTTAAAACTCACTATAGTATGGTCCTAACCTTCACCAACCCTAAACCTACCTGTCACAGAAACCTAACTTAGATTTAACATTCTTATAATATATATATATATACTGTATGTATGTGTGTGTGTGAATTTTTTTTATATGTAACATTAAAACATACATACACAAAGTGGATGAATGGCTCTAATTAAGCTGTGCTGATGTCTTCTGTTTTCACGTACATCTCATACAAAATTGTTTCAGAAATGAAAACAAAATCATAACATAAAGGCATCCTAAGTAAACACAAAATACAGTTTTGAAATGAAGCAAGACCGTTCTCTCAAACTGAAATGTATTTGCAGCTGTAGTGAGTAATTTCACTCGTATGCAGTTCAGTTACATCAACACTTCAGCTGAACTTTCTCAACTGCCTCAACTCATGATGCCATGCAATTCACAATACTGATTTCATCAATGAGGCTTTTAAAAAAATACAATTTATCACATTTAAAAAAAAATTTGATTTTCTCACAATGTTTTCAACAAAATATTGAAGACAAATTATAAATGAAAAGGGGTTATTTTATTATTTCACAGTCAAAATGCTGCACATTTCTTTGTGAAATTGACATACGTCAAATAACAACTGCAATTTTAAAACGAATCCCAAATCAAATAAATGCATATACAGGAACTCTCTTCATACAAACTAAGTCTTTGCCTGTGCTCTCTCCATTTAAACTCCGAGGCACCCGCTGCAGACATGATGTAAACTAGGCTACATTTCAAAATGTGAAGCAAAAACTGAGTGCGCTGAATGTAGGTTTGTGAAATGATGCTAGAAAACACATCTGCATGCACGAGAGAAACAGCAGCTCTAAATGAGAGGCAGATTCTCTGACAAGACAGCAGGTGGCGCTGATGAAATGTCCATGTTTTGACAAAACGAAAAAGATGCCATTTTCTAATTTTTCTGCTTTTAGTGTTAAACTAAAAAAAGGAATGAGTGAAGTTCAGGGTCCCTCACCTCAGAGCTGATTTTCTGTCAGGTTAATGACACTGATGTTCTCAAACAGAGAGCTGAGCGCTTTAGATTGAGATCAGACATCATCAGGATCAGTGAGTAGAGACAGAAAACCTCCTCTGGTCCTGATGTCAGTGCGGATCCGTGATCCTCGTGTGCTTCTGTTTCACTCGCAGCCCAAGAAGAAGAAGAACATTTCCCACGATGCTTTCGGCACCAGACTGGGCCGCTTGCACATGCAGAAGCAGGACCTGGACAAACTGCAGACGCGCAAGATGAAGGGCCTGAGGAAGAGGAGGGGAGAGCAGACGGCAGAGACGGCGGCGGCCAAAGCCCCGCGGACGGACGAGTGACACCGCAGACGACTGCAGAGAGAGAGAGAGAGAGAGAGACGCTTCCACTGAATTCAGTCCTGGCTTTTCCTGCAAGCTTAATATTCTGACCGAATGAAATTTCATTGGGATTTTCCTACAAAATAATAAAATGCATTTAATTCATATTCTATGACTTGGCATCTCTGTTTTGGTTTTAGACAGAACAAGTTAGACTAGTTAGACCTGGGAAACATTTACGCTGCTCCACAGTAACAGCAGATACTGGAAGTCAGGATCAAATGCTGTATAAAACATATCATTTTGTTGAGCACCAATGTGCAGGCTTTGTTTGCAGTATAAATGAAGAATGAATGTATTTATTATTTTTTTAAACAGAGGTGTCTTTAATTTTCCATTCCAGATAATTCTCAAAAAATAATTTCTGACTTACAAAATGCTGATGTTTTCAGTTTTGGTTCAGTTTGTGTGTGTGTGTGTGTATACACTACTGGTCAAAAGTTTGGGATCAGTAAGACGTGTAATGTTTTTTAAAGAAGTCTCTTCTGCTCATCAAGGCTGCATTTATTTGATCAAAAATACAGAAAAAGAACAGTAACCTTGCAAAATGTTATTACAATATAAAATAATGGTTTCTATTTTAATATACATTAAACTGTAATGTATTTCTGTGATCAAAGCTGAATTTCCAGCATCATTACTCCAGTGTTCAGTGTCACATGATCTTCAGAAATCAGTATAATATGCTGATTTATTATTAGCATTATCAAGTTTTGATAAACATTTTTTTTTGGAAAACAATATTTTTTTTCAGGATTCTTTGATGAATCAAAAGTTAAAAAGAACAGCATTTATTCAAAATATAAATCTTTGCTATCACTTCTTAATTTAACACATCCTCACTGAATAAAAGTTTTAATTTCTTTCAAAAAAAGAAAGAATAAAACACTGGAGTAATGATGCTGGAAATTCAGCTTTGATCACAGAAATAAATTACAGTTTAACAGATATTCACATAGAAAACAGTTATTTTACATAATGTTTCACAATATTATATTTTATCCTGTAGTTTTGATCAAATAAATGCAGCCTTGACGAGCAGAAGAAACTTCTTTAAAACACATTAAAAATCGTTCTGATCCCAAACTTTTGACCGCTAGTGTGTGTGTATATATATATATATATAAACAGTTTAATAAAATAGGAGTGCAAGTGAGCTTCAGTAAAAATAAAATATAAATGAATTGTACAAAACTGAATAAAATAGAGCATAGACAAAATAAACATACAAATGTGTAAATGACTAGAAATGCAGGCTTTTCTGTTTGTTTTTGAGGTGTGACGCTCACAAATGTGTTGCATTAGACTTTGGATGGTGGGTGTCTTGTTCTTAGTTGGTTTCATTTGTTGCACAGTGCGTGCAGTCTGACATAAGAGGACGAACAGTGAGTACAGAACAAAACTTTTTAATCTCTTACATGCAGCTGTATTCACATGTTACCAATCTCTCGTGGTACCCTAAATTAGTGTTGCGAATATCCAGTGCTTATGTGAATATTACATCTCCTTTCTTTTGAAAGAACAAACAACAACAACAAAAACATTGTCACTGCAGTGTATATATATATATATATATACACACACTGACACTTAAGGTACTATGCAACAATATTTAGGAACAAAGTGTCGGTTCTTCTCAGGCAGCCCATACCAGATATTATATTCCGTTCTCTCAGGGGCAGCGATCTGCCGTCACCCCAGGTGACTTACAAATCACAAATCAAGAATTGCTCTTGATCGCACACTCGACATGAGCTGGTATGTATTGTATGGGCTGGATCTGTCTGTATTTGAATGCTGTGCTGGTACTTCAGCCTGTACCTGAAGCATCCACGAGGCATTGCTGTTTTGCTCTTCCTCAGTGTTTGCAGAAATGCAGCTATTTTCCACAGGCTCCTCTTTTGAGCTGAGAAGGTGACGATGGTTTCTGCGATACACCTGACAGTCTGAAGTGTGAGCATGATAGGATCTTTCTGTATTGGCAGGTTTAACAACAACAGCATGCTCTTGTATGGGAACGAGTTGTGCAGTGTGAAGCTGTGACAGTGGACGAGCTGAGCGATCATTATACTTCTGCTGCTGCTGCTGCTTTACCCTTCTGGAGCTTGTCTCTGTGAAACTGACGATTCCAATTCTTAATCCTAGTTTGGATTCCAATAAAATGAAAAAAAGCAATAAAAAAAAATGTGTTCAAACATTTAGTTGTCAAACATATTTATTCTTGTTTATTTTTACAAAGCGTTCTGTTGCAGCTGAATAACGAGAGCAAAAAGCAGCAGCCTACAGAACACTTAGGCCTACGAGAGGAACTTGCCTATGGTTTTAACAAAAATACCACAGCAAAACAACTAGACTAATATACATTTCTAACAATAAATTGTTAAAGACAAGTAAACAGTCAGTAATAAAATAGGATCAAACAAAGCAATTAGCGATAGCACAAAAAATACAACTAAATTACTAATTTCAGGTACAAAAATTGAAATCAAAAATTTAAAAACTGCTTAGTTTTCTTTTTATATAAATAAAATATAGATTAATCCTCATTAAAGTTACGAAAGATATTCTGTCAAGATCAGTGAATGATTTTCTTTTATTCTTTGATTAACATTAATGACAGGCAGCACGTTAATTAGGCTGCTGTCTCTTTAACATCAAACGCTTGCATGTGTTTTGGTTTGGAAATCATTTAAAATCACATTAAAATGCGAATGCATGAATCGTTAAGTGGAAACAAAATGCATGTGTCTTATCGAATACCCGGTTTTTGGAAATTTAGACCGGTTCTCGATCCTACTTGTTAGTTCTTGGCAGTATGGATAGCAGTCTGCGACTCCTGAGAAGCTGTGCAGGCGACTTGAAGTTGTCAACAGGTGTATTCCTATACTCGAGTCTTCTCAGCCAAACCGTTGCTCTGGGGGTAATGGGGGCTAGTGGTGGTGTGCGAAAAACCCCATGTCTTTGCAAAGTCTTCAAACTCCTTGCCTCGATATTGTGGACCATTGTCGGAGACAAATTTCTCTGGGATGCCATGTCTCGCGAAAATGACTGAGTTTGCTGATGACTGTGGCAGCCGTGATGGTGCTGAGTTTGTCCAGTTCAAAGAAGCGGCTATAGTAGTCAACTGTAACCATGTATTCTTCGTTGTTCCAGGTAAAGAGGTCGGAAGCTATCACCTGCCTTGGTCTGGTTGGGATTTCGTGAGGAATCATGGGCTCCTTAGTGTCAATGAGACACTGAGTCAATACACATTGACACTGAGTCAATGAGAGTTCGTCTCGTAGGATCCAGAAATCGCTGATGTCTGCGGGGCATTTCTTCCTCTCTCCAGGCCATCCATCCAGGACCACCTGTCTGAGCTGGACGAGCTGGCTGTCTGATTCAGTCTCGGCACGGATCTGTTGCAGCTTTGTGTCACTGGCTGGTAAGTTTTTGTATACCATGTGAACCTGCATGTCCATTTCTTCGCTGAGATTGTCGTGCTCTGTCTCTATGGACTTTCTAGAGAGGGTGTCCGCCACTGGAATCTCCTTTTGGCCTGTGTGATGGTAATGTCATATTTCTGGAGTTGTAGAATCATTCTTTGAAGTCGTGGCTGGGCTGCGGCTAGAGGTTTTTTCTTCACTGATTCGAGCGGCTTTTGATCAGACTCCACACTGAGTTCTCGGCCATACTCAGACTGATTAAAGCGCTTGCAGCCGAATAAGACCGTGTAGAACTCCTCTATTTGAGCGTAGCTAACTTCACATTCAGTCAGTGACCTTGACACATAGCTAAGTGGCTTTCTGTCCTGAAGCAGGACTGCACCGTGGCCGTATCGTGCAGTTCTTTCTGTGGGTCATAGTATGCAAGTACTGGTCCAGATTCCTTAGTTACAAGGTCTTTCATTTTTTGGAATGCGTCATCGTGCTGGGAATCCCATATGAACTCGCTGGACTGTTTGAGCAGCTGACGAAGTGGTGCATTAATGTCCGATAAGCAGGGTGCAAACTTGGACAGGTAGTTTGCCATTCCCAGGACTGTTTCGAGCTCCGCTTTGCTCTTTGGTGGAACCATCTTTTTGATCACTGCACCCTTTTCAGGGTCTGGCTTGATTCCTTTAGCGCATAAGCAGGGACTGAAGTAGCGAACTTCAGTGGCATTCACGATGCTTTTCTCAAGGTTGAGGTTCACGCCTTTCTCATGAGACCTTTGCCACTTTATGTGAAAGCTGTCATCATGCTCGTTTTTGGTTCGTCCGTTGCCATCGACGATCGCAATGACACCATTTAGACCTTTGTCTCGTCAATTTTGCGTTGAAATTCATCCTGAGCTAAAATGATGCCAAATGGAAGATGCCGAAATCTTTAAAGTCAAAATATAGTGTTAAATGTCGTCAGCTTGGACAATTCCTCTGAGTTTTATTGCCCAGTACCCTGAACGGGCAATCTAAAACACTGAAGTACTTCGCACCCATTAGCTTGGGCGTGATGTCTTCTATTGTTGGTAAGGGGTAGTGTGGACGCTTGATTGCTTTATTGAGGTGGCGCGGATCCAAGCATATTCTGAGTTTGTGGGTCCTCGGTTTTCCACGACTGCAAGTGTGTTTACCCAGTCAGTGAGCTCTGTTACCATTGCTATGACTCTTTGTTTCTCCATATTTTGCAGCTCTTCTTTCAGTCTGCCACGTAGAGCCAGAGGTACCCTTCGTGGAGAATAAACAACTGGAGGGCATCGGGTTTAAGATGGATTGTGCACTCCCCTGGAAATAATCCAATGCCATCGAATACATCAGCATATTCCTCCAGGATGGACTTGTCCTCTTTAAGTGCATTTACTGAGAGCACTAGCTTGATTAAGTCCAGTTCCATGCATGCTTATAGACCTCACACAGGTGGTGCTTGTGTGTTGACTATGTAAATGCTTATCAGTGTTTCTTTGTCCTTGTATCTGCAGGGTAACGCACATGTCCCTTTTACTGCATGCATTTGACCACTATATCCAGTGAGGCTGTGCCTACTCGGTGTGAGCTTGCACTGAGCTTTTAGTCTATTAAATGTGTGCAGTGGAATGACATTTACCTGTGCTCCAGTGTCCATCTTGAAACTAACTTCCAGGTTCTCTTTTCCCAGCAGTATATCTGCAAATGTTTGTTCCGTGTCACATGGCTTTTTGCAAGACTGAATCCAGGAAAAACTCTGCAGGTTGGTCTTCCTCATCATGAGAAGCCTCTTTGCCCACTGCCTCTGGCTCTATCCGTGTCTGTGTCCGGGGTTTACTCAGAGCCGATGCTCAGCAGCTTCTCCCGCACTCGTGGAGAGTGAATGCCAAACACAATGCAATCTCTAACCATTTCCTCGCTGTCTGCATAAGCACAGTCTTTCACTAGTAGTCTTAGTTCAGGCACAAATTGGTCAAAACTTTCGTTGGCTCCTTGTACTTGCTCATTAAATTTATATCTGGCGAAAATTCATTCGTTCGTTTTGGGCATCACATATGCTTCATACTTGTCGTAGTATGTTTGCAGTAGTACCTTTGCTTCATCTGTCGTCAGCGCCCAGGTGTTAGAGAGATCTCTTCCTTTTTCTTCTATCCACAGGAGCAAATAACTGCACTTTTCGTCTTTCCCCCTTTTCTTCAATGGACCCGTGAGCATGAGCTCTGCATGCTGTCTGAACTAACGCCATGCATCCGGTAAGTTAGACAATTCCCAGGTCATGTGCGGCGATGGTACTCCTGTAAACTTTTCTTCTGACACCATGTCTTATTCTTAGTTGGTTACATTTGTTACACAGGGCGTGCAGTCTGAAATAAGGAGACTAACAGTGAGTACCGAACAAAACTTACAGCTTTAATCCACGGTCTGCAGCCACATTCACATGTTACCAATCACTGGCCAATCCCTGCCAATCTTTTGCCATAGGAACCGTAAATTACTGTCGCAAATATTCAGTGCTTACGTGAATATTACAGTGGGTTTTAAATCCAGAAATTGCATTTCTTTTTACATTTCCTACATTAATGTAACTAATAAATGTACATGCTTTATTACATTGTAATAATAAATAATAAATTTAAAGCACCCCAATCCCAGCCATTTCTAAAATACTTTTGATTAATATGACTAAATATTAAATTGTAACGAAATTAAAGATCCATCTTTGATTGTCAAAAGAATTCCAGCTAATTAGATTTCACGTAGCATTTTAATCGGTCAGTCATGGAAGTCTGATTTGTTGATAACTTTTGACAACGTTTAATCCAGGTGTGAAAAGAATTCATTTCTAGCGCAAGAGCACGGAGAGATTTGCAAGTGCAAAGGACACAGTTTGAGCACGAGGAGAGATTCGCGATTGCATCGGACACATTTTAAGTGCGTGCACACTCTCTGGGAGAGAGCAGGGCTTTGTCCGAAATCGCCCCCTATACCCTTAAATAGGGCACTATTTGAGGGAACAGCCATTTTTAGTGGTGTTCGAAACCATAGTGGACGTTCTCGAGTGCACTCATTCAATCCCACAATGCACTGCAAAAACGAGTGTACAACTGGTGCACGCTCAACGGCTAGAGAATGCCCATAATGCACCGTGAGAGTCACGCGCCGAATGAACTCCCGCATCTCGCCAGAAGATGGCGCCCGCAGCTGAATAATCAATCCAAAGCGCTCATCCATGGCGTACAGCACAATGTAAAACACGGGTATAAATTAATTGTAAATTGATTATTAAATTGTTTGATTAGAGTTTATACATAATTTCCGTGACAGAGTTCAAGATAAATCCTTTAATCTTACTACTGGAGCTGCTAGTTTGCTAGTTTCAAATGATTAATAAACAGCAAG